TCCACCAGCAGCTTCCCAAGGTCACCCCCAGGGCGAGCCACGCTGATGGTGGGGGAGCAGCTGTGGCACCCAGCTGTGCAGCCCCCATCGCATTTGGTGGGCGCTGAGACAAGGGATGGCCAACAAGACACGTGGGGGAGGACAAGCTCCACCACCACCTGCCACTGCTCCTTGTGAGGAGGAACTGCCTTTCCTCTAAGGCAAGAGGCAGCTGACAGTACTTCCCCTCAAGCATGCCTTGGAGATGCACTGAGGGCTGCAGCCCCTCTGCTCTCGAGCCAGGCTGGAAGAGCTGGGGCTGTTCAGCCTGGAGACAGCTCTGGGGAGACCTTAAAGCCCCTTTCAGTGCCGAAAGGGGCTCCAGGAGAGCTGGAGCAGGACTTTAGGACAAGGGGGAATGGCTTTCCATTGACAGAGGGCAGGGGTAAATGGGATATTGGGAAGAAATTCTCCCTGTGGTGGTGGGAAGGCTCTGGCACAGGTTGCCCAGAGAAGCTGTGGCTACTCCATCCCTGGCAGTGGCCAAGGCCAGGCTGGATAGGGCTGGGAACAACCAGGGCTAGTGGAAGGTGTCCTTGTCCATGGCAGGGAGTGGAACAGGATGAGCTATGATGTCTCTTCCAACCCAAACCATACTGTGGTTCTAAGTAACTGGGGACACTGAGTCTCATGACTCCTTTCCCCTCAGCCTCCCTTCGCTTCAAGACACTGAGGTCGCCACCAGCGGGTCCTCACGGAGCGTCAGGAGCCCAGATGCCTCCAGCTGCCACCTCTGGCCATTCCCACCCCGACGTCGAGCCCGGCGGTCGCGCCGGCTGCACTCACCCAGCATTTGGCTGAAGAGCAGCTGCTCCAGGTCGCCCAGCACCGTCACCACCAGCTCGGGGTCCACCTTCAGGTACGGCTTCTCCTCGGTGCCCGCCGCCACCGCCGGACCCTTCCCGCCCAGCAACTCGTCGTCGCACTTGCCGCCGCCGCCCGCCTCGGGGGCCTTGCTGAGGGGCTTCACCTCGGCGTAGGGCCCGCGGGGGATGCGGCTGGGCTTCCCGGCGGGCGGCGGCTTGGCCGGGCCGGCGGGGCGCGGCGACAGCAGCGAGTGCTCGGAGCGGGACAGGCTCCGCGACATGGCGGGCGCGTCCCGCCCGCGGGGGCCGCCGCGCCCGCCGCCCCCCGCCGCCGCCGCCCCCGGCGCTGCCGCCTTGGCCATGTCGTCGCTCCAGCGAGGCTCATAGAGCTGCCGCTTCTTCTCGGCGTCCGTGAGGAAGGCGAGGTTGGTGAGCGACTTCTGCTTGCGCAGGTTGGAGCCGGCCGGCAGCCGCCCCTCCGCGCTGCTCGCCTTGAAGACGCGCAGCTCCGCGCCCCGCGGCCCCGCGGCCGCCGCCGCCGCCTTCGCCCGCTTCGGCATCACGGTGCTGCCGTCGGGGCCCCGCCGAAAGCCGCGCTCCTCCTCGCCCAGCTCCACGTCGGGAAGGCTCTTGAGGTTGCTCCCCAGCATCCCCGCGCTGCAACCATTTAACCCGCCAGACGCTGCTGCTGTTGCTGCGGCACCGAGGACACACCGGGCGAGACAGAGGGAGAGGCGTCGTCAGCGCCCGTCCCACCGGCCGGGGCGGAGCGGGGAGGGGATGGCGCGGGCGTGGAGTTGGGCTAGGGGGAGAGGGGGGGTGAGCGGCACGGCCCCACCTCGCCGCTCCGCCGCCGGCAGGACACTGCGAACCAGCGGAATGTCAGGGGCGAACAAAAAGGGCCCGCCCTCCTCTGGCGCGGGCAGGGGGCGGGGCGCGGCGCGCGCGCCCGCGGAGGGCAGTGAGGGGAGGGGGCGCGCGCGGCGGGGCGGGGCCGGGCGGGGGCGCGCGCGGCGGGGCCTGAGGGGCGGAGGGGCCGAGCGGGAGCGGGGCCGGTGCGGAGCCCGGTGCGGAGCCCGGCGGCGAGGGGCGAGCACGGAGCCGGCCGTGGCCGCCGCAACCACGGCCTCCCGGCCCCTCGCAGGCAGGGACGTGCTGGGTGCTGGGTGGGAGGTGGATGAAGCCAGCGCGGGGGCCCCACGCCCCAGCACCCTGCGTTGGAGCACCCCTGTCCCGCCCGCCACGGACCCCACACCCACTAGACACTGCGCGCCCATTCCCAGGGGGGACCGAAACATCCCCGTTTCTCCCCAGATTGTGCAGGAAGAGTCCAGGGTAGCCCCAGGAATCTCGGGAGGGACAATGTGGCCCCCAAACCCAGCGGGGCCTCTCCACTGGTCCTAGGGAATTAAGGGCGGGAGATGAAGAAGGGGAGTGGGATCTGGTTATCATCATTTTTCATTAATTACCCGTCCCTTGGGAGGGGTGAATTAAGTCTATTTGGTGACCTCACGCGGGCTGCCATGGCAACCGCCGGGAAATATTGCATTAGACCCCATCACTGCTGCCGAGATAAGGACGGGAGGAGCGGAGGTGGTGCGAGCCCACCCCCGGCTGGTGATCCCGGGTTCAGTCCGTAGTAGTGCTGAAAAGTCCCAAAATAACTCCGCCTGGATGGGACAGCAAAGGGTGCCCCAAAAAAAGGGTGATTTGCACTAAGAGGTGCTGCTGGGGCAGGACGGGTGCACAAGCTGCACCCCAAGGCACTCGGGGCTCGGAAGAGGGCTGTTGCCGGGGTGTAGGGCGCGCTGCTGGGGGCAAATCTGCGGTTGTTGTGTCGTTTTGGGGCTGCTGAGGTGATTCTTGGGGTCTCCCAATGTCCCCTGTTCCCTCTGGCTGGGCCCGGCAGAGCCGTGGGAAGTGCCGCGGGCCGGCATGGAGTGAGGGAAAGGATCCGGCCCCTTCCCCGGTGCTGAACTCGCTCGGCTTTGTCCCAAAAGCTCCCCGAGGAGCAGGGCAGCTGCGCTGAGCGCATGCCAGCCCCGCTAGCTGCCTCCTGCTTCCTCCTGGAACACCCTCCCGGGTGCCGCTGGCTTCAGCACTTTCCAAGTCGGGGCTCAGCGCTGATTATTCTCTGACTGAGGTGCTCGGACCCCAGGTCAAAGTCGAGCTCTGCCAGGAACCACCGTGGATCTGACCGACTTCTGTCCCTTCAAATCACCCAGTGAAGCTCCTGGCTCTCTTTTTTCCCCTTTCCTGCACGTCTCTGGAGCATCCCGCCATCCTCCGCTGCCGCTGCCCTGGCAACCGCCGCCCCAGCATCCTCCCTGGACCCGCCTCCCCAAAATCTCTGCCCAAAGCAAGCGCCAGAGGGGACTGGGGTGGCCTCAGCATTGCAGCGAAGAGCTTGTATTCAGCCCTCGAGAAAGGGGGTGACCCAGTGGTGGTGTGGGGAGCCAGCGGTCCCTCCACACTGGCTCCTTGGAAATGGGTCATTCCTGGAGCTCGCTGGAAAACTGGGAAGAGGAGGGAAAGGAGCCAGCCGGGGTGATGTTCTGGCACCGTCCCAGGAGGGGTGAGTCCCCTGTGCCTCTCCCACGGTATGGCCACGGAGGTCACCTGACGCAGGAATTGCAGATGAGCTTTTCCCAGGGGAGTTGGGGCACCTCCAGTGTGAGGGTTCCCCCATGCCCCACTGACCTCCAGCCCTGGCTCCCATTCCAGCACAAGCCTCTGTCCCCTGGCACTGTCACGGCAGCCCCCCAGCAAGACACTCCCATTGCTGACCAACCCCTCTGGACTCACTCAGGCCTCTGGGTTTGGGGTCAGGATGAGATCCCTTCTCAGGATCGGAGCACTCATCACCCGGGGATGTGGCCCTCTCATGCTCCCAGTCCTCCTGAAGCCTGTGGGCAGAGGGGAGTGAGGATGGGTGATCAGGGGCAACTGGCTGGGGACCCCCAGGAGATGAGAACATAGGCTCTGCCTTGGTCTGGGAACACTGGTCTCAGGGCAAGGGGTCCCAGGGCACCCTATTCCCCAATGAGTCCATCCCCTGCCCCACATCAAGCTCCCACGGGTGCCTTAGGAGCCCCAGCAGCCCAAATCCAGTGGGAACCTTCCTTTTGGTACAGAGCCCCCTGACTCAGCCCCAGCATTTTCCATGGCCACCTGCTGGGCCTGCCTGCCTCCGGCTGTGGCCATGCCCCCCACAGCCCCACATCCCACGGCACCCCCAGCCCCATGTTCCCCCATCCCCGTGACCCCCATCCCCAGGGACTCACCGGTACTGGAAGGGTGCCACAGTGGCAGTGATGGGGTGGCTGTGTGGGGGCCCTGAGGAGAAAGTGATGGTCCCTGACCCAAACACAGGGCCCCTCCCCTGTGAGCCTCCATGAGACTCCTCCCCTGTCCCCGCTGTGGCCGTTCCACTGCCCTTCCCAGGGGACCCTCCCAGCCGCCCCCCAGCCCTGCCCTGTGCTAGGGAAGCTTTGTACAACTCGGGCTCCCCCACCCTGCCTGCCCCTCTCCTCCCACTGCCTGCTGCCTCTGGCCATTTCCCAGGAGACACCAGAGGTCTTGACGCGGCTTTCTGCCCACCCTGAGCGGGGACACTGGGGCTTCCCTCCCTGCCCTCGGCCGGTTCATGGCAGGCAGCTTTGCCAGTGGCTTTGGGCTTGAGAGTCTTGGGACCGGGGGCTGGCACCTTCCCTGGCCGAGGGGACAGAGCCCTGTGGAGGACGGGGGACCCCGGGGTGCTCAGGGGGGCTGTGGTGTGCAGTTTGCCATGGGCTATTGCACGGGGCACTGGGATGGCAGACTGGTAGTGGCTGCGGCCGGTGGAGTTGACATTGGCTGTCCCCTTCATCCTGGTGAGGCAGCTGCTAGCAAGGCTGTGGAGGAAGAGGAGAATTCATTACAGCCCAGCGCAGAGAGGGCACCCACAGCCCCTCAGCTGCACCAGACCTTGGTCTTTGTTCCTACTGGCCATGGGTGCTCAGTGTCCCCATCCTCACTGCACCCCACACCCCAGAATGAGGACACACACAATGTCCCCTGGCAGGGATCCACAGGACCAGGGCCTACATGATGTCCTCCCCTAGGGAGCCGGTGCAGCCCCACCCCTGTGTCCCCAGGTCCCTACAGCAGGTCCCTGCAGCAAGGACATTTGGGCACAGACCCTCACCAGTTAGGACTGCACCACAGGCAGGATGGCCCTCTTGGCCACTCAAAGCTTTTTCTGGTCCCCAAAACCACCTCCTGATCAACCAAGACCACCTCCCAGACACCTGAGGCCATCTCCTGGACACCTAAAACCATCTCCTGGTCATCTAAGAATCAACTCCTTGTCATCTGAAACAATCTCCTGTCACCCAGGAGCACCTTCTAGTGGCAGGAAGACCAGCTCTGTGACCCCATCTACTGGTGTCTGAGTCCCACCCCCACACTGGAGTGCCCTCCTCATCCACAATGTCCCCCCACATGGTGCCACCTGCCACATCTCTCCATGCTCTTGTTGTCACCTTGCTTGTCCCATGGTGACTTTCTATGTCATCCCTCAGACAGTGCCCTGTGTCTCCCTGCCTTGCCTTGGTGTTTTTCTCCATGTGATAAGGATGTGGTCTCATCCCACCCAAAACACCCACAAGCAGGGCCATCCTCGCCACCACCAGTGACAGGGATGTCAGCACACTTGCAGCGAGTGGAGAAGCTCGTCACTCCTCATGCCTACAGGATTTACCCAGGCAGACAGAGCAGAGCTCAGCAAGGAAACCAGCCATGGAACAAAGCGCCATCTCCAACTACCACTCGCCTGCAGCTCTTCAGGAAAAAAATCTCAAAACTCAGAGAAAATGGTTTTCTCCAGAGGAAGAAATGATCTCGAGAAAGATGGGGAGTTGTGGTCCCGCAGGCACCAGCTGCTACAAACCTCCCAGGACACACATTCCACAGGTTGCTGCAGCATGGTTTCACTCAGCCTCCTTGAAGGAAAATGTCTGAGGAGGAGAAGCTTTTTGGGGTCCCGGCGCATTCTGTGGAGACCATCAGCTCCAGGCTGGCCACCCATGGTAAGTGTTCCTCTAGCTGGTGTTGGTTTAGTGTTGGGTGGGTGCAGTGAGTGCTTTGGAGGGTATACTGGAGTCCACTGAGGCTGTTCCTGGTGGGCTGAGGAATGCAGCCTTCCAGGTACACCCCCACACACACCTCCTCTTTCAAACCACCTGGCCGAGACAGAGCTTCTCCAGAGCTGGAAAGAAACTGTGGGGGCCAGGGAGATGGCTCCTTCAGCCCGGTGCGAACAGCAGCCCAGCCTCAGCCCTGCATTCACTGCATTTCCCAGTGCAGGTATAACATGAACAAAGTCCAAAAATGTCCCAAACCATCCTGTTTTGCCTCTTCCCCAACCTGAGCTGCCCTGAGCCCTGCTCCCCCCGGGCTTCTGGGGGTCTGCAAGGACCAAACCATGCCCCACATTCTCCCCACCCTGGGATGACTATGTCCCTGCCACAGGCAGCACTGAAATTCCCTTTTTCCAGACCTACATGAGCTGGATCATTTGCTCATAGAGCCGTGGGTCACGGGGAGAAGCGCTGATGCAGCGGATGAAATCAGGGAATCACAGCGCCAATTCCAGCGCCAGCAGGGAGCTACGAAGCTTCTTCCAAGGCAATTTTGATTAAGGGGCAGAGGAAGCTGACACACACAGCTCTGGGCTTGCTCTCCCTGAAGCCTCTGAAACACTGGCATGTTTGTCTCCCCACATCCTGGCTGAGCTATCTCTGTCTCTGCTCGCCATGGCCATGTCCTGAGCCACAGCAGAGGTGGGTGGAGGCAGTGCTGGGGCTGGCACGGGAGGCTCTGGGACAGATCCATCCTCAAGTCACTGTGGGAGGTGACTCTGCCACTCCCATGTGGGCACATAGATCCAGCTCGGGGGCAACCACCACCCCAGAGTGGGGGCTGTGCTGGCAGCAGCCCACACCCAAAGGTGCTGCAGTGTGGGCAGCAGGAGCCAGGCAGGGCTGTCCCTGTGCCAGTGGGATTTCCTGCACCTACAAAGGTCACTCCTGGGAGCGTGGGCTCAGCACCCAGCTGGACACCAGCTCATTTTTGGGGGCTTAATATTCCCAAACCAGCTGTGAATATCAGCAAAGAGCAGCTCCCCTCTGTCCCCCTGTCTGTTCCCAGGCTGCGCCCCACAACCCACATTTACAAACCCCAATTCTACACTTTTTTCCCCTCTATGTAAGGTAACCTATGCCCTGAGAGTGCTGTGCCTGGGGACAGCAGTTCACAGTCTTGAGCTGCAAGACACCTTGTGCAAACAAATAAGGTTGACCTTCATAGAACTACAGAACAGTTTGGGCTGGGAGGGACCTTACAGATCATCATCTCATTCTAACCCCGTGCCATTGACAGGGACAGCTTCCACTATCCCAGGTTGTTTCAAGCCGTGTCCAACCTGGCCTTGGATACTTCCAAGGGTAAGGGAACCTTCCTTCCCATAGGTGCAAGGAGGATGAAAGCATAGGTTCCAAGTCACCCATTTCACCCCAAGATCCCTCACTCAAACACTTCCAGTCCCAGCAGCTGGTTCTGGTGGGTTTTCTCCTAACACAGAGGGAGATCATTTGCCCCTCACTCCATACAATCCAAGGTCATCCTCAACCAACTCAGAGGCAAAATCTTCATCTAGATTTATGCTATGACCTTACCTTCCCCAGCACTCACTGAGCACCACCAGCCTGCTGCACTTCTCCAGCCCTGCCTGCTCCCTGTGGGGCATGTGGCATCGGAGCTGTAACCAGGTTTTGTAGCTTTTTTTTCCACTCTGGATTTCTCTCTTGTGGACACAACTTCCATTTCTCCCCCTCTGAGCCCACCAGCGATGCTGCAGCTGCAGCAGAAGCCAAAGCTGCCACGCTGGCCACAAGAAAATCAATCCTTTTCTTGTGATCACAGGGTTGAGGCTTTTCAGGAGATGCCAATGCCTGCTGGGGGCCAGGCTTGGAGCAGTCTTTTTCCCACCACACACACCTCAGGTGCCTCCAAGGATTCCACTGTGCCTGGCTCAGCACAGTTGACCCCTCCCCAGGCTTCACCCTGCTCTAGAGATGCCACGGGCTTCCTGGGGGATGGCTGAGGGATGATGTGGATGGGGCCCTGTGACACCAGCTGGACCCTCATGCTGGGGTCCCCCACCCAGGGATAAACCAAAGGAGCTCGTGCCAAGTCCCCGTTCCCCCAGCAGCTCCAGGAGGAGCTACTCATTTGCCCAGAAGCCACTTCACATCCAGCATCAGCCACCACAAACTAAAACCATTCCTGGGAAAGGTTCAGCCCATCCTTGTTCCCAAATAATTCTTCCTTTGCCTCCAGACTGATTTTGCCCTACCCAGGACTGAGTGTCCCTGGCACGTGCCCCATGTGTGATGAAGGCAGTGGAGTGGGCAGGCGCCCCATCGTGCTGTGTCACGCTGTGTCACGCTGTGTCACGCTGTGTCACGCTGTGTCACGCTGTGTCACGCTGGCATCCTGCTGCCTCTGCCTGGCTAAAGCAGGTCATGGCTTGACCCAGATAGACCAAGCAGCTCCTTTGCAATTAGCTCAAAAAGGAAACAACTTTCTCCTTCAGCCCAAGAACAGCTCTCAGGAACAGGCTTCTGCTCCCCCTCTGGGTAACATGAGCCCTGGAAACTTGCATCTGATTTAATTTGGAGACTTCCAGCTGCTGGGTGAGTTTTTGGCCCCATCACTCCCCTGGGTACCAGCTTGGGATCACTGAGTCCCGTGGCAGTGGAAAGCAGCAGATACACACGGGATGTTTCAGCACAAGTGGATATTCTGGAGCAGCCACAGCACTGCTGTGGGCAGCAGAGCCGTGCCTGAGCATCAGGGTGGAGCCTTCTGGGCAGCCTTCTAAGGTGTTCATCTCCAGCCAAGCAGAGGATACTCATTCCAGGTGCCTCCAGAGCTCAGGTCTGGAGGTGAACTTCAGTTTTTAATCCCAGAGGTGAGGTGGGATTTGATCCCTTCGGACGATGCCATACACAGAGTTTTGAGTGTTCACACTGAAGGAAAAGCCTTGGCTGAGCTGTGTCCTTCATCCCAGGAGAGACAGAAGCCAGCACATCCCTGAAGGCACCTCCTTCAAAGAGGCATCTGTTGTGCCTGGAGCTTGAACTACTTCCTCAGCCTCGTGTCCAAATCCATCTCACACGTGTGATTTTAGCAGCCAGAAATGAACAGGGACCTGGGCTCCTTTCATGTCCCCATTTCCATGACCTAGAGGGGTCACTGGAGCATTCCCAGCACTGAAGCAGACCTGCTTTGGAGCCATCCATCACCTGAGCCAAGCTGGGAACAGTCTCTGCCCCTGAGGGGGGGTTCAATGAGTGGCTGAAGCCCCTGGCTCCAGCACTGTGTCTTGGAGGGGCCCAGTCACAGGGCTCCCATGTTTCCAAGAGAACAGCGAGTGGCTCTGCAAGCATTTTGCTCTTTATTTTGTAGCATTATTGGGGTGACTTTTATAAGCAAGATAAAATTTGTTTCTCTCTGATCACAGCTTAGATCCCTGTCAGGGATGACATGCTGTCCCTTGTCCCAGGATAAATGTGGCAGGAGTCTGAGCATGGACACTGAGTGATGGAAAATGTGTTCAACCCTTCAGCCTCTGCTGACATCTTGCTGCTGTTCTGTGCCCATTTCCCCACTGTGATGCAGCCTCTGGAAGGGGTAAGAGAGTTGAAACCAGGCTGATAAATAGGAAAAAAGAAGGATGGATCCTTCCCTGGGTGTGCTGGGATGTAGAACATCTCTGTAAATTTGGTATCATCCTTGAGACACCCTTGGGACTGGCAGCATAGGAACACCAGGGGCTGCAGCACTGTGCCAGCTGTCCCCACAGAGATGCTCAGGGGCTGCAAAGCACCCTTCCTTTCTATGGGTCAGGGTGGAGGGGGCACCCAGGGGTGAACCCCAGGGTGTGAGAGGCATGAGGACCTGAGCCCCTGCCAAGGGACAGGTCCTGGTGCTGTGAAACAGCTGCTGCCAAAGGCTGCTCCCTGCAGCCCTGTGCAGCATCCAGCCTTGAGCTGCCACTAGGGATGGCCATGCTCCAGCACAGCCTTCTCCCTGGCACGCTCGGGAAGGGCGACAAAAAAGGCTCCTTGTGACACAAAGAACATAAAACTTTCCAAAGAGAAACAGAGGGAGCCAGGGCAGAAAGGGGCCTTCAGAGGAGAACAAGCTGCCAATTCAGGCGCCAGGCCCAGCCCTCCAGCCCCCGTGCCCCGGCCAGGACCTGGCCTGCCCACCAGCCAGTGTCATCACCTGGAACATTGCCACCACCCGCGTTGCCAGGGCACCAGGCTGGGTCTTTCCCCAGGGACGTCTCACTGCTCCCCTCCCGCCCCTCTGGAGGGCAATGCCGGGCTGGGTGCAGGCAGGCGCTGCTCCTCCGTGCAGGCAGTGGATGGACAGGCGGGTAGAAGTGGAGGGCAGCCAGAGCCAGCTCTGCCTGTCCTGGATGTCTGCTCCCCACAGCACCATGCTGGGAGCTCTCAGAGCTGCCGGGAGATGGGCAGGGGCAGGCACTGAAGAACAGAAATCAGCTGTTGTCCAAGCAGAGATCATAGAGAAATCACAGAATTGTCTGGTTGGAAAAGTCCTCCAAGATCATCAAGTCCAACTGCTAACCCAGCACTGCCATATCCATCACTAACCATGTCCCCAGGTGCCACATCCACACCTTTTTGCAACACTTTCAGAGATGCCCAGCCCGTGGCCACAGCACTAATCCCTGCCTTAGCTCCTCCGCAGCGATCCCATTAGCCACTTAATCCGCTGCAATAAAAGCGGCTCTGAGCAAAGCTGAGCTCTGGGCTGGAGCTGCAGAAGCGGCCACTGTCAGCGACCCGCGGGCACGGCCAGGAGACCGAGCTGGGCTCGGACTGAGCTGTGCCCGGCAAAATTCTGCTGCAGATGAGGCTGCGTGGTGCGGGGCTGGACAGAGCCTGGGAGCAGCGCGGGGCTCTGGGCAAGGGCGCTGTGAGGATCTGGGGCTGGGCCGGCTGGGCAAGGGGTGTCCATGCCCCAAGGCTTCTCCCGGGGGTATCCCGGCCACACGGTGCCCGGTTCGCCACGGCCCTGCGTGCCCCCCGAGCCCGTGGGTACCCTGGTCTCTCACAGCCCGGATTCCTGCCTGAGCCTCGGGGCCCGGGGCAGGTTTGTCACCTCCGCCAGGCAGCACGCCCGGGTGGGTGTGGGCAGTGCCCGGCAGGGACAGCGAGACCGTCCCCGGGTGGGTGTGGGCAGTGCCCGGCAGGAACAGCGGGACCGTCCCCGGTCCCGGCGCTGCTGACGTTCAGGAGACGCCGGTGCTGGACAGCTCCGCCTGCGGCACCGCCCCCCCGGTACCGCCCCCGGGCCGGTGTCACCCCCCGGCCCGACCGGTGTCACCTCCACCCGCTATGGCACCTCCAGCCGGTGTCACCCTCCCCTCCGCCGGGTACCACCGCCTGAGCAGATGTCACCTTTCCCCCCCGAACCGGCGTCACTCTCCTCGGTCCGGTACCGCTGCCCCGGCCGGAGCAGCCCCCCAGGACTCGCATCAGGTCCTCGAGCCCGGGTCTGTCCCCTTCCCACCGGGCGGCAGTGCCCGCTCCGCCTATGGCCGGTGGTGCCTGTCCCCCTCGGGCCACTGTCGCCAGCCGGGGGCCGGCAGAGGGAGTCCCCAGGGACCAGCCCAGCGCCGGAGACCCCCGGAGGCCGCCTGGCTGGGACGGAGCCATCTGTGCGGTGCCTGGTGCCATCTGTCCCCCAGCAGCGCTGCCTGTTATGTCCCGGCGTGCACAACACCCATACGGAAAAGGGTTGGGCTGTCCCTCCATGGGGTGGCACCCCACAGAACCCTCTCCAGATGCCCCTGCAGGGAAGGGTCACCTGGGAAGGTTTGGGTTGTGCCTGAGGCTCTCCCACTCTCCTCGGCCCCCTGCTTTTCCCGTACTGTGTGGCAAGAAGAGCCATAAGCCATCGGTAGCCCTGTGGACATCTCACAGGAGCCACCACTGGACACCACAGAGCCTGGGTTCCCTCCGGCATCCAGCACCATAGCCAAAATACAACATCTCCTACTGCACGTCCTGAAGGCTTCAAAACCTTCCCAACACCACCCCAAAACCTTCCCAGAATCTCAGTGCTGCTATGGGGCCAAGGATCTCCCCGTGCCAGATCAAGCCCTGGGCCAGGAGCTGTCCCACAGCTCTGGTGACATTCAGCTGAACGCTTGTCTGGGCCAAAACTCCATGGAAGCAGTTGCATCATTTATTTAGCCCTGTGTTCCTGCAGCATCACACACCTGGCCCTTCGCTCCTGAGAGTTTTGAGCCAGACCAGATGTCGTGGTGTGTCTGCCTTCGCCGCTGCTGTGCGGAAACGACCCCCCCGCCCTCGACCCATGAAACCTGGAAGCCCCTGATGGATTTTGGCTTGGCTGCTGGGGTGCTGGGGGAGAGGCAGCTGCACAGCAGGGCTGCAAAACACATTAACTCAGCAGATGCTGTCGCCTTCGCAGGCATATGTGAGTTCTGGGTGGTCGGGATGGTTGAGGGGGCAGCTGGGCTTGTCCCCCTTCCTAGCACTGGCAACACATCCCCAGCACCCCCAGTGCTCCCTGTTGAGATCCTCAATGCCTGTCTGCTCCTTTCAACACTTAACTCTCTCAACACACAGCAGGCAGAGCAGAGTTATGGGGATACCCAAAAAGGCTTTTTTTTCCCCCCTAAAGCAGGTTAAGGATTAAAAATGCCTCTGGGAACATGGGATAGTTATCACCAGGGACACAGCAACAGGGTGTGCCAGCCAAGTGGGAGATTAAGCCCCAAGAGCAGAGACACAGAGTTGAGGATATGCCATCATCACAGTGGAGCTCCAGATTGGGGTGGTTTTAGATGCCAAACCTACTTTGGGTGAAGAACCAAGTGAATGAAAGTCAATCCACGGATCTGATTCCAAACTGAACCCCTCAATCCCTGCCCCAGTATGGGCCATTCCCATCACAAACCATTCCCACCATGAGCTAAACTGCCCTGTCTGGTCTTACCTGGCCAAGTGAGACAGGTCTCCCCTAATCCATCCTGGGATGATGCAGCCTGGACTCTTCCGTGGGGTTTGCCCCGAGCCCCACACACCCACTGGCACCCAAAGGGGGTTTCCCTTGGGATAACCAGGTATTTGCAATGGAAAGCAAAAGCCACAGGGAGCCCTTAATGGGATGAGTGGATTTTCCAGTAAGCTGTAAATCCACAGTGGCTGCTGGCAAACAGCTCTCTGCTCGCTCCAGAGGGGGGTGTGGGGTGCGGGTGTGGGTGTGTGTGGGGTGTGTGTGGGTGTGGAGGTGGGTGTGGGGGGGGTGTGGGTAGGTGTGGGTGGGTGTGGGTGGGTGTGGGTGGGTGTGTGTGTGTGTGTGTATTGCAACAGTCGCCACTCCAGCGGGATCCACATGCCCAGGGTTTAACAGAACAATTCCAAGTGTGTTCATGATGCCAACCCCCCAGGGGAGTTGAGTCCTGTCACTTACGTAATATATAAAGCTGGAAGAGGTTGGCAGGGGCTGGCAATGCCCTCCCTGGCCCCAGTACCCCTCACCAGCCCAGCACAGGCAGCAGCTCTATTTCCACGACCCTCTTACACCTAAAATTAAACCTCTTCCCTCCAAAGGAGGCGGCCAACAGAGCCATCATGAGGTCATCACATCTGAAGGTTGCCTGACTTTTCTAGAGGGGAGCCCAGGAATCCCTCAAGCATCCCTTCAGTATCCCTCAACCATCCCTTTGGCATCCTCCCATGAGGATGGCGGCACTCCTGCCCTCCCTTTCCCACCGCACCGCGCACATCCCCCGTTACGGACGTGGCAGGGAGCGAGGAGAGCTGCAGAGCCCGGAGGGGAGCGGAGGGCAGGCGGGGAAGAAGGGGGGAAGGAGAAGCCGAGACTGCCGCCCTGCCCCGCTCAGGGGGAGTTTCCGCTGCCGGAGGCGGCACCGCCCGGCCGCATCCGCACCGGCCTCGGACGCGGTGTGAGGAGGAGGAGAACGGAGACCGAGATCAAACCCACCTCCCCCAGCTCCCACCGTGGGACGGGATCCAGGGAATTCAGGCGGACAGGGGGAGGCGTTACTCGAGCGCTGCCTCCCGCTCCAAACGCGCTCCCCGCAGCACAGCGGAGACGTTCGGAGCCGGTTCCCCGAGCCCGGCGAGGAGAGGATGCCAGGACACCGGCCCCGCTGCCCCAGCCCGCCCCGGGCACATGCGGTGCCTTGGGGCACTCCAATGCCCACTGCCGGCAAGGTGGCAGCTGGGCAGGGACACAGTGGCACCTGCCGATGAGCCCTCGTGGAAGGGAACTTAGAGGATGTGATCCCACAATGAAACTCATGGCAGCCCGGCACCGAGATGGGTGACCCGGGTACCCTCATAAAAGTCCCGGGGCAGCGATGGTGCCGCAGGTGATTTGGGGCCGGGATGGGGCATTGGCCAGACAAGCTCGGAGAAGTGCAGGGGGCCCAAGCCCCACAGCCAGAGACAACCTCACCCCAGCTCCTACCCCACCACGACCCCCTGGGACAGAGCAGAGCTT